CAGGGAAACTCCATTTAGTTTAGGTCCTCAACAGACAATGGTTGATGTGGGGTGAGGGGGGGGGGAAAGCTAATTTATCAGCTTAATCTCTGGAGAAATCGCACGCTTTCTTTGGAAATTATGGGAAGGAAGTGGAAACAAAAATCTTGCATTGTACCCATGTTCTTAACTGTATTAAGACCCAATTTCTAGCCAGGGTCGCCCAAACATCTAAAGAGCTTCTGTTGAAGCACCCAACGCCCGACTTACAGCAGGCTCAGCTGCTCTGGTTTTTGCAGTCTTTAATATAAACTCATTGCCCACCATAAAGAAGAAGCTCAGAGATGAGGCTGGGGCAGCTGCTGTTCGTCGTGCAGGTGGGCCCATCTCGTGAGCAGGGAGCCGTGTTGGGATGCACTGGTACTCCCAGCTCATCACCCAATTTGGGGTGTTTTGGAGGACCCCGTGCTCAGTTTCATCGCATCTCATGCAGTGCATAAAAGCCACGCTGCAATGTGACACAGACCCTATGACACAAAATGTTTAGACTAAAGAAAACTGTCAAGCCTCCGTTTTAAATTTATACCAGATGAATGGAAACATCAAAGGAGCTTCATTTAATAGGCTTTTTAGCATGTGGTCCTTTGTTCTTAACAAGTCAGCACCAGCTGCTATTTCCATAATACCAAGTTATTACCATCCCTGGCCAGCCTTGGTGATGTAAATCAGGGTAGCTTCTCTGAAGGCAGGTATTTTTGCTGCTTTACATCCGCAGAAGGTCTGGCTCCTCATGTCTAGCAGGTGCATACTAAAGTGAAATCTTCTGTGCCATATTTCACATTTTTCCTGTCTTCACCATCACTACTGCTATGCACATTCTCGGGCTAGAGACTTAATTAGCATCAGCTGGAGCTACTCAAGTTTCTGTACTAAAATTCCATATTGTAACAAACAGCTTTCATCTAATTATATCTTGCTGGAGAATATATATATTTTTCAACTAATCTTGTATGCTGGGTTATTGTGTGTTGACTTTCCCATAAACAGGAGATGAAGTGAGAACACCAGATATGCCTATATTCATTCATCACAAGTTTAAAATGATATTTAATAACATAAACACAATATTATTCAGATTTCAGTTTGCAGACTGTCAACATTGACTCATCCTGATTAAAGTATATTAAAGTATATTAGTTTAGAGGTATATTAGTTTAAAGGTAACCTAAAAGTATTTTCTTGATATATTCTCTCAAATATGAAGGTATTCAATGTATATTTAAAATTAAAACATTATTTGTTATTGCAGATCACAGCATATCAAAATCCCATAACACTAAGCATTCTGGTGAATGGTGAATTTAAAAATACTTAATACCATTACAAATATCAAATATTTTGATTATAAGTTAATATATAGACCTGCACACATCCCTTCAAAAATATTTTAAAATACTGTCTCAAAATAAATCAGAAGCTAGTTATTTCCCCTTTAGCAAAAAATAATAAAATGCTGATGGCTTCAGGACTTGTTAACGAGGCTCTTTTTTAAGTAGGAAACCAATATAATCCTCTGATATAATCAAGGATCAATCCTCAAGTCTATAATTCAACACCCCAAAAGACCAGGCCCAATTTCAGCTTTCCCTATACCCTCTCTTACATTGCTTTAATTAAATAAAAGCGTGGTGGCTTTCATGCCACCAGCCATTCTCTTTGGGAAAACGTGTTACCAACTACACCACCACCTTGCTTCCTCTCTCATTGTTTTCCCTATTTCGAGAGTATTTGATGTAGTGGCTTAATTCCCAGACTTGCCCTGCTCTGATTTCCTCCAGCTTCCCTCAGGATCCTCCAGGTTTTCCCGCATACATCCACCGGAGCCAGCCATCCCAGCAGCATTTACAGTTCTCTCCACCCCAACTGCCCTTCCCTAATAACTCCGTGCCCTGGTTTTAGGCACTAGAACAACAGGAAGATTAAAGTGTGGATTTTATAATACCCGACGTGCTGGCTGAGGTTGTTTCAGCTTGCAACATAGCTGCAGTTTAAGATGATCAAACATTGAGAATATGTTCTGGTAGATAAATGGAATACTAGGTGTTTGTGTGGAATGTATTCTCTGTGAAAGGTAGGTGAGAAACAGAGATTAAAAGATGCTCCTGTCTTCACTACAGCCAAGACTAATCGTTTCATTTTTCACTTACCTTTTATTTATAAACTGAAAAAAGGGAAGGGGCATTGCAGCATTCACTTAAAAGCAACACTAGCAAGCCCTGAACACTTATCAAGAGTTAGGGGCGAAGTCTGGATGCTGCACATTTATCCCATCTCCGTTGCAAGGATCTCACCATGAAGCTGCTGCAGCTGGGGAGCACGGCAGAATCATCCAAAGCAACATGGCCCGGGCAAAGTGCAGTCCTCAGAGATGAAATTGCAAAGTTACAGCTCCACTTTGTCACGATGGAGCGTGAAATGTGGTTTCAAACACAAATTGGGACTTACACTTCGAGATTTCTAAGTATAAGTAACACTCATGAGCATTGTCCGAGGTTTACATTTCCTAAAAATGCCTAAAAATATGCCTCTAAGTGGCACTCCAAGGAAATTATACCTCTGGGGATCATCTGGTCCAGCCTGGCAAAAGCCTGGCCTTTGCTTAGGTTATCCAGGGCCATGAAAAGCCAAACTTTGAATATCTGGATTTGCACGTGAAAAAAATGTTAGTAATACTATATCTGTAGTATTACTAATACTGTATCTGTAGCCATCATTACATTAGTAAGGACCCACAAAACCTCGATAAAGAACATCCCAAGAAGCTCATGACTCAGCTGGCCCCTGGATCCCAAAAGGCAGCCAACTATTTGGGTGCTCGTTCCCCTCTGGGTCCTAATAAGACAGATGGCACAGCCCAGAAGGCATTTTTAGAGATTTCATAGAGCAAAGTCTAGCCTTAAATGGCCTTAAATGGCCAATTTACTACTGTTTTGGCCAGGATCCTGTTGCAGCGTAATTTTTGCAGATATTTAAGGTGAGTTCAGACGAAAGCCATATAAGAGGTTCTAGGACTTTAGGAGCTGGACCTGCTCCAGCAGGACTCCTAACTGGGATCCTTGACACCAGATCACTTCCATCTCTCAATTCAACACTTCAGGCAACTAAAGAGAACTCAAGGGCTCATCTTCTCCAAGGTTTAAAATCATCCCCATGGCCTCTCATGTCAGGGAGCACTGCAGATGCCTCCTTCCCTTGACCAGGTTCCTTATCGCTTGTCCCATTTGATGGCAGCTCTTGGAGAGCTCCTTGTCTTGCTCACGCTAGGGAGGAAGGCCACTGCCTCGCAGCATTGGGCACGCGGGTCTCGCACAGGAAAGTTGCATTGAGCTGATAAACACCTGCTCCTACACTGCAAAGGGGATCCAATGACCAAGAAAAGTATATGTGTTGCCCTCCGTATTCTTGTGCGCACAAATGGTGGAAGCTGCTGCAAAGGTAGCACTTCCCCCATGTATTTACACCTTCATTCTTGGGTGTACAAATGGTGGAAGTAATCTTTGAAAAAAAAGAATTTATCAGCTGGTTACCTCACCTATTTCCCCTTTTTAGCAAAGCTGGGGAGCTATGAACAACCTCCTATTTCTCTTTCTAGTTACTACTAATAAAAATGTTTTTTTCATGGCTATCATGGTATTTTGCAGCCCAGGAAAATCACAATATTATTTTAATCCTACTTTTGGTAGTATGTCACAGAGAGACTTTAAATTGCCTTGAACAAACCCTCAAATGGCACTAAAGCTTCAGAAGGATGTTACTATTGCAAATTAGGCATCTCTACAGCAAAGGCCAAAGGTTTAATTTGCTGGGGTCAGGGAAAACCCCCTCTCCAGCCCTCATCACCCCTCACCACTTTCCATCTCTTTAACCTTCTTCACCGCTGGTCCTGGTCTCCTGCTCACCACTGCCTGGCCTTTCCCTTTCAGTTGCATTAGCAAATCCCACGAATGAAGCTTATGGTTTGTATACTAGACCATTAACCCCCCTCAAAAAGCTCTATAAGCACCATGCAATTGCAATTAATTGTAACCCCGGCCCCAGGATACACAGGGAGCGAGCTCCAACCTCAGTGCCTTGGGCCAGGCTCCCTCATTGACATTCCCACTGCCTGGCCTTTCCCTTTCAGTTGCATTAGCAAATCCCACGAATGAAGCTTATGGTTTGTATACTAGACCATTAACCCCCCTCAAAAAGCTCTATAAGCACCATGCAATTGCAATTAATTGTAACCCCGGCCCCAGGATACACAGGGAGCGAGCTCCAACCTCAGTGCCTTGGGCCAGGCTCCCTCATTGACATTCCCACCATTCCCGTTGCCTTCCTATGGAGTCAATAAACGGAGCCGCCGGTATTGGAGCGCAGTGTAGAACTGCGGTGGCAGCGACAGTCACTGCCTTTTTTTCCCTACAGCAATTCTGTAAAAACAATTTTATGTTTGCAAAATGCTTGGAGATATTTGGAATAAATGTGCTAAAGAGCTGTGAAACATTTACCTGCAGCCATTGGATATAAAGGTCTGGGCTTATTACTTTGGCCTCCTAAATTAAAGCTGGAAACAAAGTCATATTTAATCATAAAAACAAGCACAAAACTGAGTTCAGTCCAGCCATTTCCTTCCTAATCTCAGACTTTGAAATTCAGCCCTTTGGAAGAAGAAAGGCCCAGTTTTCAGATGCTGCTTATTTCTGGGAACAAATATTTAACTTAGAGTTTTAAATGCTTAAAAATAGAAGATTTCAGCTGAAAAGTCAAGCAGAATTTTCCTCCATCCTCTCTTGATGCATGCATCACCAGCCTGCCAAACATATTCATAGGAGTCCTGGAACTTAAGATGTCTGGTTTGTGCTGTGACTCATCGTGTATTTGCAGAAGTGCCGATTATTATTATTATCTGCTCACGTAAAACCACCCTGGTGAGTCTGTTCCAGTGCAAACCCCTGCCTTGCCGCACGTTAATCACTTACCTGCCTCGTAACTTGGGCGAGGGAGCCGGATAGAAAGCGTCGTGCGGTTGCTGCCAGGCTGTTTATTATCTTCTTTCTTTATTACCATTACATTATTAGGTCCTTTGGGCATATCCACAACTGCTGGGAGTTGAGGGGGACAGGCACTTTTTGAAGGGTGTTTAGTACCCAAATAGCCCTCGTCTGTTGTCTGTTTTTTAATTACATTATTTTGTATTAGGTCTGCGCTCCAGCTTGCTCTAAGTGGAGTCTTGTTTTCTCCTAGGAGCTTTGACTTCAGTGTCTCCGCTAATGGCTCTCCATTAGCTATGCCATCTACTCCATCTGCTGTTAATCTGGACGAACTGCAATTTATACGGAAGGATAGCTCTGATCTATGAACTTTTTGGTGTTTAATTCGAGGTTGGTCAATGCACACATGGAGAGACTTGTCTAGGTAATAGATAGTATTTGGACACTGCTGGGAAAGCTGGAGGTGAACGCATGAGGTGAACGACAGCGCTGCTGCCTCTCTCCGACCGCTGCCTCGAAGGACCACGCTGGTCTCCTCATTTGCAGCATCTAAGAGCCGGTCTTGAGATTCATCGCGTAACCCTGAGCACAGTTCAGAAACCTTCAAGCTGGTGGTGCTGAGGTTTGCAGGAGACCCTTGGCTTGGAAGAGGAGTTCTGCGGGGAACAGGTCCGGCCTTGCTGGCCACAGGGCCACCAACTCGCCGAGCAGTAACGGTTATAGAGGCGAACCCTCTTGGTTGCTTTGGGCACTGGTCTTCCTCCGTGACACGAGAATCTGGATGAGAATCTGGATGAGCATCCAAAGATGCTCGAGTTCCCGACAGGCTGGGAAGCCACATGGACGTGCTGTGAACGTTGACTGGAGCGGGATCAGCCACAGGCTGCTGGGTCGGATCAGCACCCATGCCCGCTGGCAAAGCAGACCCATTTCCTTTGGACTTATCAGTCATCCGTGAGATGACCCTGGATGAAGCCAGGTTTGCATTTTGTGATGCCAGAGATTCCTGTAAATGAAAAGATAGAAATTATCAACATACTTTCTCATGATATATGTAACTATTTCTCATTTGCCATCTATCACACTGGACAGTTTTGTTGATGGCTTCTTGTTAGCTTTCTACTCATGCTAGCTCTTTTGTCATCTGGAAACATACATTATTAATAATCAGCTTTGAACTGCCTGGGCAAGCGCTGCAAAAATTTGGTCACTCCAAAGCTAAAATGTTAAAAAACCTTATAAATTTGCATGTTATAATTGTCAGCATTTAAGCCATTGCTGCAGTGGAGATTTGTGGCTGTTGCCTTTGCTTAAAAGCGGACATGTCAAAGGTAGGCAGCACTTTCAGGCTCCAAACTGCCAGCATTTTAAATGCATGGAAATGTATCACAGATCAGTAGCTGGTGAGTACAGATATGCCATCATGTGCTGCAGAGGGCATGGAGGTCACTGCTTCTGCACATGATCATCGGTGACAAGCATGGAAGAACCTTCTCCACGGTCCCTCCCATAGCAGTGATCCTGGTTCCCAGCGGGGCTCTGGGCACAGTTTTAATTCCTGATTTCCCTCTTGCTGGACGTCACCTGTCCAGATGATGGTTACATCAGTCGAATGTAATAAAGCATCCGACCTAATCTCTTTGCTGCTGAAAATTAGTGGATTAGGTTGCTGCAGCCCATGTCCTTGGGTCTTCTGGTACTCATAGGGAAAAAGCCCTCTAAATTGTCACCTTGCTGGTGAGGATAGCACCATGGAGAAGGTCTGCTGGAGCTCCTCCTTCACGTTGATATGGTGGACACGGGCTTCATCTGCCCTCCTGATTTATGCTCAGCACAATAGTTCTACTGAGCTGTAAAAATTAATATTCCACGGTGTGTTATCCAAGCCAGACAACAGAGCAAGACCCAGTGACAAGTGACAGGAGCATTTTTTTCCTGTTAATTACCACTATTTTTGTTAGTTACTGGGCTGCCACTGTTGCTAGAAGCAGGTTGACTGCTCTTCTCTTTGGTGCTGGTCTGGGTCTTCCCTTTCTGCTTGCACATCTCAGTCCTGGGGCTCTCCCTGCACCTCTCCCTAGGAGCCCATCAGCAGGGACCCCCCAAACACGAGGAGGGAGATGGAGGGTTTATTAGCGGGGTGAAATGCCAGGTAAATTTTATCAGTTCTTTAAACCAGCTGCCTGCGGTTTTGACAATTCAATAATTTCACAGCCCCAGGGAAAGCATTTTCTCCTTCTCTGTTTCTTCCATGGTCTGTAACAACATTTGCCTCATATTTTTTGCACGGTATTTACTTCCACCCACAGATTTAAGACCTTT